ATATGCACACATACGCAAACACATGTATATATATATATATAAATAGATACATACATACATACATACACACACACACACACATATATATATATATAAATGCATGTATACACATGTACCTATGTGGATATGTGTACACAAACAATATATATATATATATATATATATATGGTCGTATAAGGACGCAATGTAATAAAAACAAACTAATGACTTCAAAATATACACAGGAAGCGGCTCTTCAGATCCGCAGTGGAGAACCAAACAGGCCAACTGGAGAAAAAAGCTATAATATGTGCTCACTCCCATTTATTCGAGTTTAAACTCGATAAAAATATGTTTTACTGACCTTTGCGGCTGCTTCTGCGGGGTTATCCAGGTTCTTATCGGGATGGTACATTAGCGCTAGTTTCCTATATGCTTTCTTTATCTCTTCATCTTTAGGGTTCTTCTTCTTTATAAGGCCCAACACTTCATAGTAATCCTCATTATCGTGATTAGTTGTATTTCCGGGGCCGGTTCCTTCCATGCCGCCATCCTGTGCCGCTGCCATATTATTGAGTTAGGAATGACTATTACTTCGGCGGATGCGTCCGGGGTTATCTATTATATACAGTATATAGTACACCTGTATTCGAATAATACAAACCCAGCTATAACAAGACTACGTGTCGGTGCATGTAATTCACTATACTAAATGCGTGCACGTGACAATAACTGATCGACTGATTATGACAGACTCGCGTTTAAATCTAATTTTACGAAATATGATACGAGTCTCTGAATGTGATACACAGCAAAGTGATAGGAGTTTCTGAAACTCGGGGGGACGAACCTCGGTATCCGGGCCGTTAACAACCGATTTTTATTGGGTTCTTAAAACAGGACAACCCCGTGAGGCTGAGGCCTGAGTATTTAGGTCAAACTACGGTTTTAATAAAAATAGTATCAGGGGCTAATATTTGGACTGACATCCAGGTGGACAAACATGACCTATGTAGTCTATATAAATATAAATAA